GGGTTTGGGGCTACTGGAGGTTCTCCATACTGTACCCCTGCACCTTGCCCAACACCACAGCCCACCTCCATTGCTGGGAGAAAGGCTTCAGGGAAATGGGTAGAGCTGAGGCACGAATGCCCGATAGTCTAAGTCTTTTTTGCCTTTTGATTGGGCTCCCACATGATGACCTGCTGGTCTTGTCACATTGTGTGATAGAATCAAATTGGAGACCAAGAAACTGCATGATTACAGGCTTATCAGGAGCAGATGAGAAGGCGAAATGAGAGGCCCAAGTCAAGCGTTCAGTCTGGGTGGAGGCCCAGTAGGTCGAGCTGCTTCTGACCTAGAAATTGGTTGGACCCTGCGCAGTTCTCCGACCCTCAAAAGAAACCTCTGCTTTGCACCTGCACGATCATTCGAACCACAAAGGACATATTAAAAACAAACAATGGCTTAGGAAGTCAAAGGTAGTCAAGAGGTGATGTAACAAAAAGGACCATTTTAGTGCTTGGGCATATGAGTTTTATAGGTTCCCTCTCGCTGGAAAGCATTAAGGCTAGGAGCCGGACACTTTTGGTGATGTGATTGGTGACATCTGTGCTTGGCTTTCTTGCCTGTGGCTTTAACCCCCCATGCTCTCTGACCCTATTCATCCCTATGAGGACTCCAAATGGGATGTCCTGGTGAAGAACAGGAAATGGGGGGATCTGGTGAATGAAAGCCCACCAGTCCCTCGAGATGAGTGAACACTGGTCATGTTTGGAGTATGGAGAGGTGGCATTAGCCGGACTGGTATATGTATCAAAACACAAAAACAAAATTAGAATGTGCCCTCAAATGTTGGGGAGAGGAAAGTCAGACAAATCTTCTTGGTCGGTTAAAAAAAAAAAAAAGAGCAAAGTGGGGCATAGCAGTCATGTAGAGGGAAGCATTACAAAATAGCTCTATGAAAAGAAATTTAGGGGATAAATAGTATAATTAATACTCATTTTCCCCTTCTGGAATTGGAAATAGTAGATCCTTACATGCAGTTAAGGGAAAATGTAAAGATTCTGAAATTTTTCTAGGCAGAAGATAATTTTTCTTTGGAAAGAAGGACTGTGAGTTAATGAATGTAAACCTGTATTAAAATGGGGGAAAAATTATGAGCAGAAAGAGGGAGAGGGCGGAGCATGACAATTGTTTTTAAATATTCGGTCTAAGTCTTACTCTGTCTTAAAGTATTTACTGTTTCTTAGAGTATGTCATGTGTTAAATAACTCTTTTTTTGGGAAATTGATTTGAAGCCAGAAAAGCCTTTGAAAATTACAAAGTTTAAGATTTGGACTTTTTTCTCTCACATATTTAGAAATTTAGCCTATAGAAACTACGTGTAAAACAGACATTATTATGTATTAGAAAACATATTAAAACGGATTAGGATAGTTAATGATGTATATCAAGGAGTATTAAAATTATGGAGTCTTTAATAAGATCCACATGATATGTCAATAGCAGAATAAAGTGTGGGACAACTAAGTATAGGAAACTATTACCTCATGATGGTTCTGTGGCAAAATTTTAAATTAAAATGAGGATGATATTTTAATTGGCAGCACTGATTTAATTTAATTATATTTAAACCTTGCTGTTTAAAATTAGGACTAAAAAAATTCAAATATCCATCATCCTATTATGATTTTTTAGAGTGATCATAATCATTAACTTGTATCTTTTTTATTTCTATAGGAAATGTCAAGTTTTATCCTCTAAAGAACCTCGGAGACTTTTTTAAAGGTGAAACTTTTCATCTTTAGGTAAGGAAACGTTTTCTATTGTTTATCCATCTATTGAAAAGAGAACATCTCATTTAGAGGAAAGAAGTATCATGAACTTAAGCTTTGCCTATGCTAACTGATATAAGTTATTATAAAGACGATAGAGAGCTGGGTTTTTAAGTTAAATAAAACAAACTAGTTGAAAATTTTTCACTAAAAAAAATTCATTTGCTGGGGGGAAAAAAGTCCCCTTTTTTGCATTTTCTAATAGACGGACATTATAATAGGATTCCCATCAGGATCTTTTCCAAGTATTTAAGATATAGCAAAATTAAAATTATATTTTGCAAAATCTAGGGACACCTAGAATATCCCTAAACATAAATATAAACGTATGTGATAATAAAAAATAGACTATTTTGATAAATGTGAAAGACTGGTCACTGCTTTAAAAGCAGGCCAGTGAAATAAAGTTATTTAAGGTTTGGGCAGTAACAAAGAAGCTTAAACTCTGGGATATACTCACATGCTAGGAAAATATTGCTTTGTAGGGTCAAAATGTAAATATAAACAATTTGTTTAATCAGGCAAGAACCTTTCCTTTGTGTGTAACTTCTTTTCACTTTCTATTTGTGTTATACTGGTAACATATGAAAAGGGAAGACAGCTACCTTTTTAAGTATATTAAAATATTAGCAACTCTATTTTTGTCAGTAATTCTATTAGTGCAGTTTACTTGCATGAACAGTATAAATCACATTTATGAAAATTAGATGTTTTAAAGCAGATAAACTAAAAATACAATTAAAACGTCTAAACAAAATTTAGAGATGCTTTGAAGTATTTTATGAAGTTAAAAGAACGAAAGAAGCAGTTAGAGAAATTATATATAGAATCTGTTGTAAAATATGCAAATATGTACATTCTAGCCTTCTCACCAATACCATATTTGAAAAAAGAAATAAATTGCAATGTTTGTCTTCTGTTAATTTATATTCTGGAGAATAAACAAGACTTCTCCTGATTTTAAATACATGAAACAGCTACATATAAATATTTCTAAGAGACACAGTACAGAGGTTTCGGTTTTTAAGAAATACACGTAAAAATTCATGTGGTTAAATAGAATCTAAAAACTTTGAGAGAAAAGTACTAAATTTTTTATATGGATTTGAAAAATTCATTTCAAGAATAAATTTTTCTCCTTATAAAGACATTCATATTAATATCAAGCATATAGGTTAAGACTTACTTAAATTACTTAATTAGGATATATTAAACTTCTAAGTTATGTTTAAAAGAATAATTTTGGTAATCTGAAAAAGATTCTAACATTATTTCTAATGTACTCTTTAAGTAAAGTCCTTTAATATGTCAGTTTTTAAATCTTATATTTTAAAAGATAAAAAATGGAAAAAACAAACCTTGTAATAGAAAATATAATTTTATAGTACTGAGAAAAGAGTTGTAAGCATTTTATAAATATATGAAGAGATCAGTTTCATTTCTGACTTGTTTTTGAGACTTTCTTATGAATCGTATATTTTAGCATCAGAATAATATATAAAATATGCTTTATATTTTTACGGTCTAGCAGATATTTAAAAATAGAAAAAAATGCAACTTTGCCTAGCTAAATTCTAACCGAGATAAGATGTTGTTAAAATTAGAAAAATACAGAAGCTAAGATAGTATAATAAACTAAGATTTAAAATATATAAATACATATATATTTTATGTCTTGACATATAACATTTATCTTGTTAATGAAACCATATACTGTAACATGAATAAAAAAATGAATGATGCAGAAGTATTTTCTTATTGTAGTTTACTAGATCAAAAAAAATTACTAATAAGCTAAATGTAATGTTAAGGGTCATGTTTAAATTTAAAATTAGATTTTGTTGAGTTTTGCTGAAGACGTATCTTTCCTAAAAGACTTTGGGTTTTTTTTTTTTTTTGTGTGTGTGTGTGTGTGTGTGTGTGTGTGTGTGCTAGGATTTCTAAGTTTTGTGATTTGAAATCCATGATACATTTTGAGTGCCCTTTCAAACGGCAAAATTTTTCCGTGTTAAAATCAGACCTTATGTACATTTCATTTTATATTTTGGTAGGAGAAAAAAAGCAGGTACTGTAGGAGACTTCTAGTTTTGTTTTTCGTGCATGCATCAAATACCAAACAATTATTCTGTGTGTCAGTCGGTTACACGTCTGAGCAAGTTACAGTTTGTGTAAAGAGTATCTTACACATTTAACTTATATTGATGATACAGTGACCCCTAAATACGATTGTCATCTTTACTGAAATTATGGGCAGTGTATTTAAAAGAAGTGCATTTTAAAAACTTATTTTTAATTGAAACGAGGAACTTTAAAAGGGGTTCTCTCATCAGCAAAATGTGTGATTGTGCAGTTTTCTCAAAGAATGCACTCAGGGTTTTCTTTTCAAAGTATATGAAACTGTCTTTTGGCTGATTGCTTGCTAGTTTTTAAGGTCAGAAAGGGATAAAGTAGGAGTGCAGGCTATTTCTGATTATTTTTCTATCAATCGAAAGGAAAAGGGAAAACAAAGTATATATTGGCACAACAGAGTTCTTCCTTTAAAAAAAAAAAAGAAAAAAAAGAACTTGAAATCGAAAAGATAGATTGCCCATGCCTTACGTTTCTTATTGGGACTTGTTTGGAGTTGCATACATTTTTTGGGGGGGGGGGGTAGTTCATCTTAGGGAACGTGGAGTTAGAGACCACTGCAGCCAACTGTAGGACTGCCCTCCTCTGTGGTTGGTGTCCAGAGTTTAGAAGCACAGGTTTTTGAGTTGATAAGTGTTGAGAACCGGAATATCCGTGCTACCACAACCTAGGAAAATGCCAGAAAATTAAAAAGGCGAAGGGGCATGTGAACCGCGCCCCCCCCCCCCCCCCCCAGTATCTGGCCCCGCGGGGAGGGCTCCCGGGACCGCGCAGGGAAGCAGCCGGCCGCCGGGAACCCGGGGGGCAGCTGCGGCGGCTCGAGGGGGGCAGGAGGGCAGCGAGAGGGTACGAGCGCGCCGCGTGGCACAGCGGGCACGCCGGCCGGGTGCAGGGGCAGGGCGGTGCAGCAGCTGGGACCCCGCGAAGGGCAGCGGGGCTCACGGCCCGGCGCCCCCGCAGGGTTCACCGCGCGCCGCCCGGTGCACTCTGGGAGTTGTAGGCCGCGGGCATTGTGGGAGTTGTAGGCCGCGGGCATTGTGGGAGCTGTCGTAAAAGCTCGCTCTCCGGGTGCGATGGCGGCCGCCGAGGCGGGAGTCGGGGTGCTGCGGCCGCGGCGGGTTCGGGGGGCTCTCTGTGCGGTCGGGAGGCCGCCCACAGCCCCCAGACTGCCGAGGGCCCGCCGCGCGGGGTGCATTAGCGGCTGCGTTGACGGCGGGGTCTGCGGGAGCGCGGCCTTCGCCCTGGACACCCCGGGGGGCGCAGCGCCTGAGCGCCGGGGCGTGCGTGCTCTGCCGCGGTGTGGACCCCGCCCCGCCGCCTCCCCGGGGCGCGGGGGCTCTGCGCTCGGAGGCCCCGCTCCCCCGCCCTGTTGGGGCCCGGGCGGCCGCTTTTCCCGCTGGGGTTGGGGGAGCGGGGCGGCCGGTGCCTGAGCCTAGTCCGCGTGCTGCCCGGGGGGGGGGGGCGGGGAGGGGCGGGGGGCGCCGCACCTGCCCCGCACCTCCCTCGCGGGGGGACGTCGGGCACGGCCTCCTGCAGGACGCCGTCCGCTTGCACGTGTCCCTGAACTTTTGGGAGCCTCCGGAAGACTTTTTCTTTTTTTTTTTTTTTGCACGCGTTTGTAGAACAGTATTGTGTGCCAAAAAAAAAAAAAAATGCATTGAAAGCCAGCCCCACCCGCATAATGAGCTTTAGCCCTGGGGCAGGCCCTTCACCGCAGAGGTGCTCTGAGGTTGGTTGCCTCTGCTTGGCGTGTTGGGACCTTTGATGTGACTTGTTTTTTTTCTCTTTTTGCATGATCTCCGCACTTGAGTCCGGGGAACGGGAACGCTTGTACTGACGGGTCACGGCAGGAATCGGGACCTCCGGCGGGCCCCTCAGGTCAGTGCCTGTCCTAACACCCTGCGCAAGCGCAGCATCCGAGTCGCGTGCTCCGACCGCCTGGTCGTGGTCTGTGTGACCCGGGGCCCAGCCGCCCGGAGAAGCCGCTGCTCACACACCAGTCTCCCCCCCCCCCCCCCCCAACCCTCCAAGTCGAATTGGCATCTGGAAAGTTTTTTCATTCAAGTTTGGTGAAACCGGGGATTTAAAATAAGGGACAGTGGTGTAAAGTGGTCTTGGAAATCATCCATCAACGGTTAGTTTTGCGGGCTGGCCGTGTGACACAAAAGCTTCCTAGAGTGGAAAAAAAAAAAGTTCTTTTTCTTGGTATTTCCAAGCCCGCAAAACCTGTTTCTGTGTCAGTTTGTTCGACTGCTTTCATAGATGATGTTTTGTGACTGGCTGAGTTTTCCTAACCCACTTTTTGTCTTGAGTTTGCTTAGTAGTTGAGTATTTGGAAATTTAGTAGTCGTAGAGAGGGTGGCAAAGCTGGATGGGTTTCTTTCTGTTGAATGTGATTTTGGAAAACAGATTGATAGACTGATGCTGTTGGCTCGCTAGTCAGATCTCAGGAAAGTATTTCCTTCACCCTGACCTGCCCCCAGTGTATCGCAGAATATTAACTAACTTGCCAGTTGAAGAAGATTGAAAAAGGTACTTTCAGATAGTCTGTATTGTTCATATTTGTGGCTGTTTGGTGATGTAAAATGCGGGTGAGTTGGTTTTGTATCTTAGGAAGAGTGAATGGCTGAAACTTGTAGATTTATGGAATCATGAAACTTGTTGAAAAGCTCTCAAAACCAACGACAGCCACAATTTGCTTTAAAGAAGATGCATACAGGGACGCCTGGGTGACTCAGCGGTTGAGCATCTGCCTTTGGCCCAGGGCGTGACCCTGGAGACCTGGGATGGAGTCCCACATCGGGCTCCCTGCACGGAGCCTGCTTCTCCCTCTGCCTCTTTCTCTCTCTCTCTCTCTCTCTCTGTTTTCATGAATCAATAAATAAAATTAAAAAAAAAAAGAAGATGCATACATTTTTAATGGCCAAATTACCTGTGACTCAGGTACTCAGCAGATGATTCATTTGAAGGTGATTGGTGAGTACATAGGTACTTGCTTTGATAAGTTAGATACGTTTAGAAGTAAACGTATCTCTGTATTTTCAGAGAGCCCTTCTGGATGTTTGTGAGTAGCCACATCTCTGAAATGGTGAGATTTTACACCCAAGCATTTTCACATTTAGTGCCTGAGGCCGTTTTGTACTCTGCTTTCTACCTTCATCACTTGAATTCTGCTGGTGTGAGGTGTCTTGAAATACACCAAAGTCAACTATACATTCAGAAAAAAAAATTGGTAAGATCCACTACCTTTTGGAGAAGATAATTACTAAGGTGTGGCTATGTATTTGATAAGTGTGTCAAAAGTGATCATTTTAAAACTTAGGCTTTGTGTGGTTTTGATGAAACTCCTTTCCGTGAGTTGTAGAACCAAAGTGTAACTGGTAACATTTGCTTTTTTTTTTTTTTTTTTTTTTTTTTTAAGTAGGCTCCACACCCAGTGTGGGGCTTAAAGTCAAGACCTGAAGATCAAGAATCATACATTCTGGGATCCCTGGGTGGCGCAGCGGTTTAGCGCCTGCCTTTGGCCCAGGGCGCGATCCTGGAGACCCAGGATCAAATCCCACGTCAGGCTCCCGGTGCATAGAGCCTGCTTCTCCCTCTGCCTATGTCTCTGCCTCTCTCTCTCATTCTGTGTGACTATCATAAATAAATAAAAATTAAAAAAAATACTTAAGAAAAAAAAAAGAATCATACATTCTACTGACTGAGACAGCCAGGCACCCTACTGGAAATATTCTTGACACAGGTGTTATAAATGAAATCCTTTGGGTTTTTTTAGTTTTGGGTGGGTTGTTTGTTTGTTTTGTTGTTGTCGTTGAGATTTAATTTATTTATTCATGAGAGACAGAGAGAGAGAGGTAGAGGGAGAAGCAGGCTCCCAGCAGACCAGGAAACCCGATGCAGGATTCAGTCCCAGGACCCTGGGATCATGACCTGAGCTGAAGGCAGATGCTTAGCTGACTAAAACTAAGCCACACAGGCGTCCTGAAAGCCTTTAGTTCTGGTTTTCGTTCAAAAATAAATACAAACTCACTTCCAAATAATACAGTGTGGAAGATAACAAAAAATTAAGTTTTTTATTTAAATTTTAACCAAAATTTGGAAACACTTGGGAGGAAGGGTTGAGCAGGAATATCTGTTTGAGGGCTTTACACAAGTCCTTTCTAATTTTGGTTCCCTGTACCATACTCTTCACATTGCTGAAAACACATTTCTTAATTAATGTGTTTCTGCATCTGTGAACATTTGTGAGTGATAAAACCACTTAGAAGACAGCAAACCACCTACTCAGAATTTGGCCCTTATTTTTCATTTATGTTAATTTGAAGTGGAAGACTTGTTGATCATGTTTTGTGCACTGGTTTATGTATTTTGTTTACAGATAGCAGTACCCTCAGACATGGAGTGCATCTCCACCCACTCACTCCACCTTTTTGGAGGACAAGTTGCCTGAAAGAGGAAAAGTTTTTGAATTTTTTCATGCCTTTCAATGAATGTTATTTTCTGCTGCTTCTTACATTATCTCTGCTTTGCTGGGCCTTGTATCTTGAAGACAATTTATTAGTCATAGGATTTTTACAGGCAAGGCACAGCATACCAATGGTTACGTCAGAAGGTTATATCTAGATTTAAAAATATTCATTTCCTGTTGGAAATAAAACGTGATCATATGAGTATATTCCAACTCTTAAAGGATTCTGTCTATATCTTAAAACCTCAAGAGACCTTAAGAGGTGATTTTGCTTTGTCCTCTGCCTTCCTTATTTTTCATTTTGTTCAACTTTCTCCTTTACTGTGTTTTTGTGGCTTCAGATCTTTAATGACATTTTTATTTATTTTGGATTTTTTCCCAAATTATTTGCTTCAACTTTTAAAAACCATTCCCCCCCCCAAAATATCCATAATATTCACTCAAAATATCCATGCTTCAAGAAGTCAAGAAGAATATCCTTGAAAAAAAAAAAAGGAGTCTCAGCAGAGAGAGAAGATTATAGTATATATGTGTGTGAAACAAAATAAAAGTTTGGGACTCAAAATGCAATAACCACAATAAAACCCTAAATTCCTTGGAAGTGCTCAATTGCAGAATGGAGATAATGAAGAAAAGAGTCAACCAACTTGAAGCTAGAGCAATAGAAATTATCCAATCTGATGATTAGAGGAAAACAATAGAAAAAAATAAATGAACAGAGCCACTGGGACAATATCACAAGATCTCTATTCATTTTACCAGAATCTCAAAAGGAGAAGAGTGCAGAAAACATCTGAAGAAACAGCATCAGAAAACATCCCAGTTTTGGTGAAAGATAGACACTTAACAATTTCAAGAAGGTCAATGAATCTCAGCATATATTCAAAGAAATCCATACCAGACAAACCAAAATCAAACTGCTGAAAATTATTTTAATGAAGCATTCTTGCCATATTAACATTTTTACAAGATTTGAGAGAGAGAGAGCATGCGCAAACAGGGGAAGGGGCAGAGGAAGACAGAGAATCTCAAGCAGACCCGACCCCCCCTCCCCATGCCCCAGCACAGAGCCCAATGCAGAGCCTGACTTGGGGTTGGATCCCACGATCCTGAGATCACAACTTGAGGTGAAATCAAGAGTTGGGCGCTAACCTGAGCCACCCAGGTGCCCCTTGTCATATTACATTTCTACAACTAAATGCTATACGTGCTGTATTTCTATATTCTGGGGAAAAATGAGTTAATGACTTGCTAAGTGCTGGAATGTGGCCTGCAAAAAAATCTAAGGTGTATGTCTTTAGTCTCTTTCTATTATCAACAGTATTTAATGAAGAGATGCAGGATTTGTCATTTTCAGACAAGTTTTTTTTTTTAATTTTTATTTATTTATGATAGAGAGGCAGAGATACAGGCAGAGGGAGAAGCAGGCTCCATGCACCGGGATCCCGACGTGGGATTCGATCCCGGGTCTCCAGGATCACGCCCTGGGCCAAAAGCAGGCGCCAAACCACTGCGCCACCCAGGGATCCCCATTTTCAGACAAGTTTTATTTATTTATTTATTTTTTATTTTTATTTTTTTATTTATGACAGTCACAGAGAGAGAAGGAGAGAGAGGCAGAGACACAGGCAGATGGAGAAGCAGGCTCCATGCACCGGGAGCCCGACGTGGGATTCGAGCCCGGGTCTCCAGGATCGCGCCCTGGGCCAAAGGCAGGCGCCAAACCACTGCACCACCCAGGGATCCCTTCAGACAAGTTTTAATTGAAGACAGTATTACTTTTTGCCTGACACTCATGACATACGTATTTGTGAAATTTGTATTAAGACCATATAAGAAGAAATGTTTTAATTCATGTGAAAGAATAGAAGAGAGCAGTTGTGTATGTTTACTAATCTAAAAAATTATTTTTAGACTCCTTTCATGTATTTTAACTTAAATCCCTGTTTCTGGATTTAACATTTTTAAAGATGTGGGATTTTGGGATCTTTTTTTGAGGGGGTAGGAACCGTATTTTCAGTGAAGTTGTATTGAAAGAATGGCTAGCTTTTTCCTTTATATTTTATTATTAATCAGACGTATAGAGTATGTGCAGCTTATCAGAGGGAGAGAAAAGTCCCGTCGTATTAGTTAAAATGAAGATATCAGTGATTTTAAACTTTTTGTGCTATTATAATTATAGAATTTTAATTTATAATACAGTGGAGTTAATTTTAAGATATTTATGAAATGGCTTATTCCTTGATAAGATTCTATAATATATATTTTTTTCAGATATGTAGATTTAAGTAATTTTTTACTTTTTTTGAGAGAATGCCAGAGCATGTGAGCAGGGTGGGGGAAGGACAGAGGGAGAGGGATAGAATCTAAGGTTAAGCAGACCCCACACCAAGCCTGGAGCCTGACATGGGACTCAGTCTCACAACCCTGAGATCATGACCTGAGCTGAAATCAAGAGTTGTTCGATGCCTAACTGGATGAGCCACCCAGATGCCCTAAATTTTTTCATTCTAACATAAGATTTTAAAAATAAAAGTAATGGTAAAGTAAATGAAACTGACATGTAGTCTTCTACCTGAGAAGAAAAACTTGGAAAGAACATAATTTTTAGAAATGCAAAGGTTTGAGGTATGTAATATGGAATTTTACAAATCAGTAAAAGAAGATAGAAAAGCTAAGCCATGGTTTCACAGTTCACAAAAGAAAAAAATAAAAATGTCATTGCATAATGTAGCAGATTGTCTGCTACATTTTCCAGAGATGACCACAGCAATATCTCTCAGCTGATATGCTCACCTGCAATATGATGTTGACATCATGGTAACCTGTCTCCACTTCATTAATTTTAGGTAGGCCCTTGGACTGCTTAGACCAAGAGAACATGATAGAGTGGATGATATGCCTGTTCCAGGTGTTGCTCTTAGCGAGCCTGGCAATTTCTTTCTGCCTTTTTAGAAGCCAGATACTATATAAGAGATGCAGCTACCCTACAATCACTGTTGTAAGAAGGCCAAAGTCATCTAACGAGGTCGTCAAGGATAAAACATCTGTTGGACAGGCCAAGGGACATTAAAGGACTAAGTGAAGAAGCCATTTTGAAAATGGATCCTCCAGCCCCACCTGCCATGGCCGTTGCTGTGTAAATCAGATGAACCACCCAGTAGAGCCCTTCCCAATTTTGGACCCACAGAATTGTGAACAAAATAAAATGGTTTGTTTTAAGCTTCTGAGATTTTTGGGTGCTTTGTATGCGTCGATAGTTATCTGTAAGAAATACTGGGAAAAAAGATTTAATACTTATAATAGATGGCAGTATAGGAGAATATATTTACATGTCTAAACCTAACAAGGAACTAGTATCTACAGTATAATAAGGAATACCAAGATCATCAAACAAAAAACCAGAGCTTCAATAGAGAAATGGACCAAGGATATGAACAGGCTAATGACAGAAAGCTATGTTCAGACTCAGCATTAATGAGGGAGGTTCGGATTAAAGCCACAATAAAATATCTGCTACTACCCAACGGACTAACAAAAATTAGAAAGATAGGTAAAGTCAAGTGTTGATGGAGATGAGGATGAATAGGAACCTTCATACACTGTTGTGTAGTGTAAAGTGGAGCGGTTCTGGAGAGCCGTCTGTCATAATTTAATAAAGATAGTAATTGTTTCTGGGTATATGTCCTCAAGAAGTCTTACATAGGTCTTTAAAGGAACAAATATGAGAATATTAATTACATTGGGATTTTGGTGGCAGAAACTTCAAGTTAATCTAGATTTGTTTAAGATTTTATTTGAGAGAGAGCGGGAAGGCAAGTGAGGTGAGGAAGGACCTGAGGGGGAGGGAGAGGACAAGGAGACTCCATGCTGAGCATAGAGGCTTGCACAGGGCAAGCCAAAATCAAGAATTGGACACTTAACCAGCTGACCCAGACACCCCACCAATCTAGGTTTTTTTTTTTTTTTTTTTAAGATTATTTATTTATTTATTCATGAGAGACACAGAGAGGCAGAGACACAGGCAGAGGGTGAAGCAGGCTCCACGCAGGGAGCCTGACATGGGACTCGATCCTGGGTCTCTGGGATCACACCCTGGACTGAAGGCAGTGCTAAACCGCTGAGCCACCCGGGATGCCCCAATCTAGGTTTCTTTAATCATTAGTAGGCTAGGTAAAATATGGTGGAAGCACACACAGTTATGTATTAGATAGAAGCAAAGGACTACACATATCTGCCACTTCTGTATATGTCTTAATACAGTTTGGTGAAAATAATAATGGAGCCTGTAATATCACTTTGGGTACATTTAAAACGCATGGACACAAAAATGTCTTCTAAGACATTTTTGAATATTTTCAAAAACCTATGTTAGACACATTGGAATGGTTTCTCAAGGGCAAGAAAAAAGTTGCACATAGAGGGAGAAAGAATGGGGAATGAAGTAAAAAGAAATTAAAGGCCAGAGGTGATGGCATGCTGTGGACCAATGTTCTGTGCCTGAGGTCTAACAACACCTAACTCTGCTCAAGAAAAGATTATAATTCTCCAGGATTCAAAAAATTTGAAAAAAAAAAAAAGGAACTCTTTGTTAAATCTGCCACCCTTGGAGAGGGGAGGGAAGTTTAAATAAAAACAGTATTTACAAAAGTGGTCAAGGGGCACCTGGGTGGCACAGTTGGTTAAGCCTCTGACTCTTGTTTCAGCTCATGTTATAATCTCGAGGTGGTTAGATGGAGCCCCTTGTCAGGCTCTGCACCCAGCGCAGTCTGCTTGAGATTCTTCCTCTCCCTCTGCCACTGCTGCTCATGTGTGCTCTCTGTCTGAAATAAATAAATGAATCTTTTTTTTTTTTTTAAATGTGATCAGGGGGTCCCTGGGTGGCTCAGCGGTTTGGCGCCTGCCTTCTGCTCAAGGTGTGATCCTGGAGTCCTGGGATCGAGTCCCACGTCGGTCTCCCTGCATGGAGCCTGCTTCTTCCTCTGTCTATGTCTCTGCCTCTCTCTCTCTCATGAATAAATAAATAAAATCTTTAAAAAATAATAAAAAATGTGATCAAACAGGCAGTCTCATATTTTGTTGGATATATAAATTGGTATCACCTTTATAAATGACAGTATTTGTGAAGAGCCTTAAAAATGCTCATGGTCTAGCAACAAACAATTATAAAATGAAATTTAGGAAACAAACCACTTAAATAACAAAATATTTAGAAATATATTTAACAATGTGTAAGACCTGTATATGGAAACTCTAAGACGTTACTGAGAGAAACTAAATATCAAATAATGAGAAAGATACTATGTTCATGGATTGGAAAACTCAATATTATTAAGACTTCACCAATCTTCAGATTGATTGAACAGATCCAAAAAAAATCCCGTCAAAATACCAGCAGGCTTTTGAATTGTTTTTATAGAATTTAACAGGCTAAGTTTATATGGAAATGCAAAGACTCTAGAGTAGCTAAGATAAGAAAGAGAACATACTGTATCTGATTTTGAGACTATAGTAATATAGAATGTAATTTTAACATAATGACATAAATCAGTGGAACAAAGTGGAGGTGTCTGTATCATCAACTGATTATCAACAAAAGTGCTGAGGTAGGTCACTAGGGGAAAATTTTTCAACAAATGATGTATATGAACTGTTGGATATCATTGGCAAAGTGATGAGCTTTGTTCCTAGTCTCAAAGAGACTATATACAAAGATTAACTTGAAAAGGGGTCACAAATATAAATATAAGAGATTAAACTTCTAGGAAAAACAGGATGAAAATCTTTGTTATCTTGTATAATGCAAAGATTTGTTAGATGAAACGTAGAAATCAGGAAGCGGTTTTTAAAAATTGATAAATAGGGGTGCCTGGCTGGCTCAGTAGGTGGAGCATGCGACTGTCTTAATCACAGGGTTATGAGTTTCAGCCCCAAATGGGCTGAAGAGATTACTTAAAATCTTTTTTTAAAAATTAATAAATTGGCTTTTATTGAAATAATTTGCTCATCAGAATATACTGTTAAGAAATAAAAAGATAAGCCATAGACTGGGAAAAAAATATTTGCAACACATCTGATGAAGGATTCCTCTTCAGGATATATAAACTCTTAGAGCTCAGTAGTAAGACAACCTAATTAAAAGAACTAGCTGGGGCACCCGGGTGGCTCATCTGAATGTCTGCCTTTGGCTCAGGGCGTGATCCTGGGGTCTGGGATCAAGTCCTGCCTCAGGCTTCGCACAGGGAGTCTGCTTCTCCCTCTGCCTCTCTCTCTCTGGGTCTCTCGTGAATAAATAAATAAAACATTTTTTAAAAAAAGAATGAGCAGGGATCCCTGGGTGGCGCAGCAGTTTGGCGCCTGCCTTTGGCCCAGGGTGCGATCCTGGAGACCTGGGATCGAATCCCACATCGGGCTCCCGGTGCATGGAGCCTGCTTCTCCCTCTGCCTGTGCCTCTGCCTCTCTCTCTCTCTCTCTCTGTGACTCTCATAAATAAATAAGTAAAAATTAAAAAAAAAAAAAGAATGAGCAAAACTTTCTTAAGTGAACCAAAGTTGGGCCTTTGTGTATTGGTTTCAAGTCTATTTCTTTATTACAGTCTCAAACTTTTTAGCTAAGAGCCCACCAGTGCCTAACTCACATTTTTACACATTCCATTATTTACAAGATAGCCCAAACAAATGGATGTTAGCCATTTAGAACCTGCCTCTGCTTTGCATACTCCAGGAAACCTAACTCCACACCTGCTGTCAATAAGATAACCTGTGAGCCATAAAGGCCTGAGGCTTTGCTGCTGCCTTTCAAAGCTCTGACACAAAGACCCTGCCTGTGCTGCGGGAGCACATCACCTGGATGTGTGAGCCTCCTGTCTGATTGCCCCCTCCTCCAGGAGTTCCCTTGCCCTCCTCCTTTGTTGGGTGGCAACCCCCTCACTGTCAGCCTCCGCAACTGTATAAGTGCTGCCTAGTAAGCCCATGTGCTATTGCTTCTCGTGTTATCTTGATCAATCCCCAAATCCCTCAAATCCCCTATAAGACTTGAACAGACACTTTACAAAAAAAGAAGTGTCCAATAAGCATGGAAAAAGATGCTTATTATCTTTATTCTTCAGGGAAACACTAATTAAAGGCACATTGAGTTGCCACTATATATCCACTAAATGAAAAAGACTGACAATACCAAGTGGTGGTGAAGACATGGTGCAAAAGTACACCTCCAGTTTGGAAAACAGCTTGCCAGTTTCTTACAAAAGTAAAAATTTGCTATGTAATCTGTAATTCCACTCCTCAGTATTATCTACTCAAGGAAAATAAAAGCATATGTCCACATAAAGACTTGTATGTGAACATTCATAGTTGTTTTATTCATAGTGTCAAAAATTGGAAAGTCAAATGTTCATCAACTGAAGAATGGACAGCCAAATGGAATACTGCTCAGGAATGAGAAGGGATAGACTACCAATACTTGCACCGTGGATTAACCTCCCGGACATTATGCTCATGGAGAAGCCAGACACAAGAGATTATATACTGTATGATTCCATTTATATGCATTTCTAGAAAAGGCAAAACCCGAGTGACAGTAAACAAAACCATTGGTTACAACGGATGAAGGATCTGGGAGAGGATTGACTATAAAGCATGAGGAAATGTCTTGCTTTGACCGTTGCAGTTACGCAACTCTACACATTTATCAAAAGTCATCAAACACTTCAAATTTGTGAATTGTATTTAAATTATCTCTCAATAAGATGGGCTGAGAAAAAAAAAGTACTTACGCTTTTTAATTAAGTAATTGCATTACTTTTTTTAAAGTTTTTTTTTAAATTATTTAATTAATCTCTACCCCCCACCCATATGGAGCTTGAATTTATGACCCTGAGATCAAGCGTGACATGCTGCATCAACTGAGCCATCTAGTACCCCAGTCACTGCATTTCTAAGAATTTAATATAAAGAAATAATCAGATATGTTTAAAATATACTAGGGTGTTCATTTCAACATTGTTTATAATAGCTAAATACTTGAAACAACCTAAATACCCAGTGATACAATGCTGTTTAGGTCTGCCTATGATGCTCCTACAGGAAATTTGTCAAGCCATTAAAAATTACATAGAAAATGGGTGTTGGAGAAACATGTGCTACTTTAAGTAAAAAAACAGATTACAATGCAGTACATGCTCTAGTTTTTTACTTTTGTTTTTATGTTAATAGAGCAAAACATTTTTCA